CTACAACCCATGTCTAAGCAAAAGCTTGTCGAGGAGCGAGGGGAAGAAGGGAGAAAACAAAAAAATATGGTGCTAAAAGAAAAACAAAGATAAAGAATTTGCCGGTAAAGAACACGTGCTCAGATTGCACCTGCAGTTAAGAATACGAACGCACGCCTGAGGTGTACCAATGCTGCTAAAATAAGAACAAGAGCACATTCAGCAGCTGCGAGATAAGAACATTCGAACGGGGAGGGGGGGAAGGGCGGGGGGGTGATCGAAGTAGTATTGGATTTTTCAGGGGGATAGGTGTGCCGAAGTTGGGTGCATACATACACCTCGAAATCATCTGCAATTTTTGCGGAGGAGAGGGTGGGCACTGTACGCGTCGCGCCCCCTTGGCGGCTGCCAGGCCACGCACGTGCAGCGGGCCACGAGTTGCCTGCCGTGCAGGGGGATCATGTCCCTTTTCAATCCCTTATCCCATGGGTTGTTGAAAGATCTTGGCAAACTTGCAGAGTTGAAAGGACGGGGTCTAATTCTTGACCGTCACTTCGAGACGATTAAAACAAGTGTGAAGGCGGGAAACTCCATTGCGAAGGAGCGGTGGGACGCCATCGAGAGCGCGTGGGGGTCGAAGCAGAACGGTATCTTCGATGAAGGAGAGTGGATCGCGCAGATTGATTGTGAAATCCAGGGCATTACCAGCAGCACCCGCCTGTCCTTGTCATCCCAACAAGATGCCAGCAGCGCACGAGGTGCTGCTGCACCTTCTCAGCACCCACCTGCTGCTGCAGCGGGTACCGCGAGGAGGAAGAAGGTGGATCGAGGGAAGCACGCCAGGGAAAGAGCTGCGAAAGGCACTTTAGGTGGCAAATCTGCAATCTGCAACGCGTTCTCGATTGGCAGCGGACAACCGGTGAGTTCGGTTACAAATGTATCCGACGCACGCTGTTGCTTTGTATCGCCGCACAGGTGTAATAATTTTGTTTTTGTTTACTTAGCTAGTTCCCGATAGTCTAGTGTAGTCTAGCAAGAGGAAAAATGACAAAAAATTTAAGTATATTTAGACTAGACTAGTCTAATGTGACCCAAACGAAAAAAAAGGCGTCATCTCCCCACTCTCTCGTGTGATTCACGATAAGCTTTCAAGGAAGTATTCGTTGAGTGAATATAGATACTTTTGCCAGCGGCATCCACGGAAGTTTGAATTCTACAGCGCCACAACAAGAACGACTGACACGTCACATGGCTCGTTGAATCTCTTCGGTAAAGGCTGACCATTTGACTACGTGCACAGGCATCGGATGACTTTGCATGCATGTATGTAGTCAAATGGTCAGCCTTTAACCAATGAAAGATACACTCTCGGCTCGTAACCAATCCCAGTGGATCTGATAGGTAGGGTGTAGTGATCTCCGGGGACGGACCCCTCGCTGCATGTTGCTGCTATTAGCCGATGATGGTGCCTTGAAAGCGATTCACCGGGAGTCAAACCCGTGCGTGAATCCTTTATTTACTCGTTAAAGGCTGACAATTTCACTACATGAAAAGAGCGTAATGATGCTTGGGAAAGTGACCAGCCGGGTTTCGAACCTGTGCGTGAATCCTTTGCCGCCAAATACTACCCCATTAGACAAGTCAGCTTCAGGCAGCGTCTGGCGAGGGATCCGTCCCCGAACATCTCTACTCACGAACCCAAAAACGTGATCCAGCCGGGTGCAAATGAGCTCTGAGCATATCTTTTATTCGTTAAAGGCTGACCATTTGACTACGTGCACAGTCATCGATGACTGTGCACGTAGTCAAATGGTCAGCCTTTAACGAATAGAATCCCCTACACGGCAATTCCGCCATTTCCCATCGCGCCGAGCAGATTGAGCGGGCTCGTGGTGGAGTGAAAGAGTTCGTATCCGGTATCGATGCTTCCCGCCTCCGTCCCCGGAGTCCCGCCGATCCTGCCCTCACTGTCCCATGACCTTCGTGACCGAGCAAGGCCTTGGGGTCCACGTGAGAACGCAGCACAGCAGTGCAAACATGTCCAACGGCGTGCGGCTGCGGCGTATGCTACGGAAGAATCTCGAAGGGCGTGTCCGGCCGTGGGAAGAAGCCGGGCCTGGGCGTTGTTGGCACGTGAAGGACGATGATGCGACGGGGGCGGCTTCGTTTGTCCTCCAGCGGAAGCTCTTTCTCGATCTAGACTTGGAAAGCGACGGCTTTATGGACCGCGACACCAAGGAAACTCGTGGAGCTCCCAAGCGCAGGCGATACACTATAGGCNAGAACGCAGCACAGCAGTGCAAACATGTCCAACGGCGTGCGGCTGCGGCGTATGCTACGGAAGAATCTCGAAGGGCGTGTCCGGCCGTGGGAAGAAGCCGGGCCTGGGCGTTGTTGGCACGTGAAGGACGATGATGCGACGGGGGCGGCTTCGTTTGTCCTCCAGCGGAAGCTCTTTCTCGATCTAGACTTGGAAAGCGACGGCTTTATGGACCGCGACACCAAGGAAACTCGTGGAGCTCCCAAGCGCAGGCGATACACTATAGGCTCAAAGCCAATGCTGTCAACCAGCTGCGCATCCTCGAGGACAACGCCGCGGACCTCTGGAAGGAGGAGGAGCGCACACCTCTTCAGTACTTAGAGGATCGTCTCAAGGTTCACTACAGCAACATCGTGAAGTGGGCCAAGGACGAGAAGGCCATAGTCGCGGCGGCAGCAGACGACGTGAAGAAGAGCCTCCTCGCCAATCAGCAGCCTTAGCGGTGGTTTCCTGAGGCAGAGAAGAGGCATTAACCCTTTTGTGACTACACCCCTCCTGAGTGTCGATAAGAATGTTGTTACTCTTCCTGTCGCACAAGTTTTTCGTCGAAAATCGCACTGCAAGCGCGGGCTCGTCAGCGCGAAAAGACCGCGTTCTCAGAGGAAGTCCGAACGCGGGGACACCAGACACACAGTTCCCGACGCAAGTAATACACGAGCAGGGAGTTCCAGTGCGGTGTAGATCCGCGAGTGCGCGCCACACACAGAGGCCAGACCACACACACACAC